GACCGCACTCACCCCGCTGCTCATCCCCGAGCACTTCCCCAACGTGCCGCTCATCGCCGTGACCCGGAACCCGGTCTTCCCGCGCTTCATCAAGATCATTGAGGTAACGGCTCCACGTAGCCCCTTCCCTCTGTGCCTCCCGGCCGGGCTCTTCTCCCCCCTCCGCCAGGGCCGGCCTGTGCCGTCAGTTGCTGGGCTGTACCCTGTACCGTGGCGCTAAGACTCCTGTTGAGCCCTTGTCATGGGAGCTTCTTCCTGCAGCCGCCTCGGTTCCTGCTTCATCGGGGTAACCCCCCACCCTCACCAGCGCCTTCTGCATTTGCTCACAGGAGAGCCTGGTGCTCCTCTTCCCATGGGCTCAGCTCCACTGCCATCTTCAGCTGAGATATGGGAGCAACAAGGCTCTCCTACAAAGGTGGGAACAGAGGCGCTTCTGCTGCTGCTTTACATGATTGCTCCTGTGGGCATGGAGATCACTTAATGTAGATCTGTTTGTCTCCTGGATCTGAGTTAGTCTCCTGTTTCATGCAGAGCAGGAAATTCTCTGCTGGCCGGGTAGGAAGGAGTGTAAGCAGGGGAAGCAAGAGGGCTCGCAGCTTGCAGAAAGCTGGCTTAGTTAGTATTAAATACATTTGTGTGCCACTCCCCCATCCCATTATGCCGTTGCATTAGTGTGCTTCCTTCCACCTATTGCAGTATATGTTAAGCCTGGACCTGTACACAGATTATGTACAGGTATAGCCATCAGTTATGTTCCCCAGGTGTCCCCCTTGGAAAAACACTTAAACCGTACAACTGTAGTACAGAAGGCAGAGTAGAGATGCACCTTATCGACTAACTCAAGGATGTGTAATTTTCATGTTCAAGAGTGAAGGGAGGAAAATTGGGAGACATTTGCCTGTCTCAGCACTAACTAATAAACCTATAGGGATATAGGGGTCAAAAAAGCTATGATCCTGTGGCTTTGTTACTTGTTTATATCTCATCACAATGTCCGGTTGGCAGCCAGTCCAGCCCCTCCCACTGGGAAGACCCTGGCTCAGCCTCTGGCCCCAGCCCACCCTCACCCCATGCACAGATTCAGGGGACACATGTCCCCCATGCCTCCCCCGGGGTGCAAGCTGCAGCAGGAGTCGCACCCCTCTGTCGCCCCCCGGATGAGCCACAGATCCATCCTGCACCCCACACTGCCCTGACTGTGCAGCACCTGCCCCAGCCCTCCCTCCCTCCCTCACTGCGGGAGCCTCAAGCTGTGCCCCTGCCCCCGCGAGCCATTTGATTTAATTAGAGCAGAGGACTAAGACCTGGGATTCTTGGGTTCACTCTTAGCTCTGTCACTAACTTTCCAAGGGACCTTGAGTAAATCACTTCACTTGTTTATGCTTTGTTTTCCCCATTTGTAAATGGAAATGATCATTATCTTTGTTATTGGGTGGAGAAATGAGGTAAACAGTATACAGTGCTCTGAGATTTTAAAAGAAAACAAAAATCCTTATTTATTCAAATACAAGATAAAGGTTTACTCTAATGCAGGGCTAGGCTTTTTCCTCAATGAGCATGGGGGACAATTGATTAAATGCAGCCAACACTGAGCATGGCTATAAAATGTGGCCTATAGTGGGCAAACACACAGGGAATATTTTTGTTAAAGAATAAAAATTAAAATAAAAATTAAAAAAAAAAAAAAATTAGAAACACCCTTATCATTATTGACTCCAAGATGAACATGAGCCACCAATGCCAGACCACAGCCAGCAAAGCCAGCCATACCTTGTCATGCATCCAAAGGTGCATCTCAAGCTGGTCCAGAGAGGTGATACGCACCCTCTATGCGACTTTGGTCAGGCCGCAGTTGGAGTACTGCGTCCAGTACTGGGCACCGCACTTCAAAAGGGATGTGGCCAGCCTGGAGAGGGTTCAGAGGAGGGCCACCTGGTGGTTTGGTGAGAGGGCAGCAGGACAGGCCGTATGAGGAGAGACTGAGGGACCTGAACCTGTTCAGCCTCAGCAAGAGGAGGCTGAGGGGGGAACTGGTGGCTGCCTACAAACTCATCAGGGGAGATCAACAGCAAAAAGGTAGAGCCCTTTGCTCCCCAGCACCACCTGGCGTGACAAGGAACAATGGTAATAAGCTGATGGAGAACAGGTTTAGGTTAGAGATCAGAAGGCAATATTTTACAGTTAGGGTGGCCAAAACCTGGAACCAACTTCCCAGGGAAGTGGTCCTCGCCCCTACCTTGGGCAAATTCAAGAGGATGTTGGACGATCACCTGTCTGGGGTCTTGTGAACCCAGCATTCATTCCTGCCTGCACCTTTCTTCCCTGCCTGTGGCAGGGGGTCAGGCTAGATGATCTGTTCAGGTCCCTCCTGACCCTAGCTACTATGAAACATATATTGACTTCTCACAAAAAAGTCCCTTACAGAACTCTTTCTTCATGCAGAACCCCATGAAACTACTACCTCAGCAACCATCTGAAACTCTCCATCTCTCCTGTCGGTTCCCTCTTTCAGTTTAGTGAAACAAGTGTATCCATTCCTTTTCTTCCGCTTTTCTGCCTGTTCTTCTCTGATCTCTTCCTTGTCCTGACCAATGTAGTATTTCAGTTCATGCAGCCCCAGCTTCAGCCACTCTTTCAATGAAAGCCAGCCCTTGAAGAAAGCAAAGGCTTATTACTTTCCATAAACTGGTTTTAAAACATGTTAATAAAGTCTTTAATAACATTTTGTCTGGTCCCTTTGTTATGAGTCATAGATTCATAGACACTAGAGCTGGAAGGCACCTCGGAAGATCATCAAGTCCAGCCCCCTGTCCTGGGGGCAGGAAGTCAGCAGGGGTCATAGGATCCTAGCAAGATCCAAATGTCTCTTGAAGGCATTCAAAGTAGGTGCTTGAACCATATCTGGCAGCAGTCTATTCCAAACCTTGGGGGCTCGGACAGAAAAGAAGTTCTTTCTATGTCCAGCCTGAAACGGTCCTGAAGGAGTTTGTGACCAGTCGACCTTGTCATTCCTTGGGGCGCTCTAGTGAACAGACATTCCCCCAGGTCCTGATGAGCACCCCTGATAAACTTATAGGTGGCCACCAGGTGCCCCCCGGGCCTGTGCTTTTCCAGGCTGAAGAGCCCCAAAGCTCTCAGCCTGTTGTTGTAAGGTCTGTTTTCCTGACATCTGATCGTGCACATGGCTCTCCTCTGCACTTTCTCAAGCTTCTCCACATCCTTTTTGAATTGTGGAGCCCAAAACTGGACACAGTACTCCAGCTGTGGCCTCACCAAGGCTGAGTACAATGGGAGAATGAAGTCCTGCGCCCGCTTTACCCGAGTTTAGTGTTGTCGGCGAACTTGGCCAGTCCGCTTCTGGCACCAATGTCCACATCATTAACGACGATGTTAAATAGTATATGCCCTAGGACAGAACCTTGAGGGACCCCACTGGTCACAGGGCATCACGACGATTGACTTCTGTCAACTACCACCCTCTGAGTTCTACCATGGAGCTAATTCCCCAGCCAACGGATCATGGTGAGGCCAAGGCCACAGTTAGCCAGTCTTGCCAAGAGGTGATCATGGGATACCAGATCCAAGGCTTTTTTAAAGTCAAGATATATGACATCAATCTCTTCCCCCTTGTCCAGGTGATAGGTCACCTGGTCGTAAAAGGAAATAAGATTGGTCAAACAAGACCTACCCTCAATAAACCCATGCTGGCTATCCCTCAGGATGTTGCCATCAGCCAGTCTGTTAAGACTGGCCTCTTTGATAATCTTTTCCAAGACCTTCTCCGGGATAGAGGTCAGGCTGATGGGCCTGTAGTTTGCCGGATCCACTTTCCTCCCTTTCTTGAAGATAGGCACCACATTGGCCTTCTTCCAATCTTTGGGCACTTCACCAGAGCTCCAGGAGTTCTCAAAGATCTGTGCCAGTGGCTGAGCTACGATGCTAGCCAGCTCCTTGAGTACCCTGGGGTGTAAACTGTCAGGGCCGGCTGACTTGAAGATATCCAGCCTCTCAAGGTGTTCCTTCATGAGGTCAGCATTGATGGAGTGCAAGGAATCTCCCTCACCTGGGCCTCCCTGTCCCGTAATGGGCAGGTGCGTCCCATGGGACTGGTGAAAAACTGACGCAAAGTACCCGTTTAGCAAGTCCATATAGTACCATCTCCCATGCTAACAAGAGGTTTATTTTGGTGACGCCTCAGAAAGCAGTGGACCCTTTCTCACATCCCCTTTGCAGATGTACACTCCCAAAACGCATATCAGCATTTCTTCTTCCCTGCACCTCTTGCATGGGCACCTAGATGATCTCATCAAGCTCCATCTGTGTTGCACTTCTCTCACCAGCAAGATATTTCTTACAACCATCCATGTTAGGTAAGCATGCTTCATAGATTTCTGGGGTCAAAAGAGACCTTGTAGATTGTCAAGTCTGACCCCCTGCTCTAGGCAGGAAAGAGCACTGGGGTTAAGTAACCCCAGCTAGGTGCTTGTCTAATCTCTCCTTGAACACCCCCAAGGTAGGGGAAAGCATCACCTCTCTTGGAAGCCCATTCCATATTTTGGCAACCCTCACTGTAAAGAATTTCTTCCTGATGATCTTAAATCTACTCTCCTTCAGTTTGTGCACATTATTTCCAGTAACCCCAAGGGGCACCCTGGTAAACAAAGTATTCCCTATTCCCTGCTGACCTCCCCTGCCCCTCGATGAGTTTGTAGACAGTCACAAGATCACCTGTCACCCTTCTCTTGAGGAGGCTGAAGAGATTCAGGTTCCTCAGTCTGTCTTCATAGGATCTTACCAGCATGCCCTCAACTATATGAGTAGCCCTCCTCTGAACCCTCTCAGTGTTATCCACATCCCTCTTGAAGTGTGGTGCCCAAAACTGGGCGCAGTACTCCAGCTGCGGCCTCACCAATGCCACATAGAGGGGAAGTATCACCTCCATAGACCTGCTTGTGATGCACCTCCTAATGCAAGAAAGAGTGGGGTTAGCCTTACTTATTACCTCTTCACGTTGGCAACTCATGTTCATTTTTGCTTTGACTAATACTCTGAGATCCCTTTCCACTGCCATGGTACTCAGACTGGGAAGTGTACCATGCTTTC